GTTCAAAGAATATGACAGAGCTAAAGCAGTTTTGCCAGGAAGAAGGGGCTAAAATCTCTCCTGAATGATGTGCAGGTCTGATCCACAGCTACAAGAAGCGCCTGGTTGAGGTTATTGCTGCCAAGGGGTGGGGTGGGGTGTCAACCAGATATTGATTCCAAGGGTTCACTTACTTTTTCCACTAGCATTTTGAATGTTGAATGAGTGTGTTCAATAAAGACATGAAGGATCAGAATTGTTTTTGTGTTATTATTTTAGGCACATTATATTTGTCAATACTCTTGACTACAGTCAGATCACGTTTTATGATAAATTAATGCAGAACACCATGAAATTCCAAAAGGTTCACATACTTTTTCTTGTAACTGTATATTCCACTGAGCTAAACCAAACTATTTTATGGCTTAACACAAATCACATAATTTCCAAAGCTATTTTTTTTTTTTTATTAAAGCTACAACATTCCCAAATTTGCAAATATCAAAACTCGTTGGACCAATTTCTTGAAATACATATTTTTTTTATGACTGTTGAGCTACTTGGGAAAACATTTGAATATCAGTGTAATCTGAATGTTGGGTGTTCTTGCTGCTGCCTCTGCAGTGTCTAGTTTTCCATTTGAGAAATAGATGCTCAGGCAGATGATGAAGCCCAGGTTATTTTTATTGGTTTTAATACCAGTGTATGCAGAATACAAAAAACCTGACAGCAGTGTTTGCCTAGAGGGCTACAGAATCTATAGTATAAAGCCTCAATGCCACATACGTAACTAGGAAGTGCTATGCTGTCTCAAACTATGTTCTGAAAGGAAAATAAGATCCAGTTCCATAGGATGAATTCCTATACAGCCTCAGAAACAGATGCAAAACCATTTGGCTTCTCAATAGGACCTTTATTTCCAACCTAGTCTAATAAACTTTTATTAGCATTGCAAGAGAATCAGCATTAAATTACTCTTACCGTGGACTGGAAGTCCATAAGGCTTGTTTATTACTACAATCTCTTTGTTCTGATAGAGGATCCCCTTTTTGAGTACCTTGGCTATGACGTTAGGATGGAGCTGCTGGAAGCATCGAGTCTGCTGAACATATTCTTGCACTCGCCTCAGTACTCGGTCTTTTGGAATCTTTGAAAAGTCAATGAAGACCAAATCAGGTAGTTAGTCAATCTCTTTATTGCATAGCTTTGGTAGCCACAACATATAACAAAGCATAAACTACAAAGTGCCAAACAAGATGCTACATAGAAAATCCAAAAACTTTGCTTTTTTGGAAGGGTGAAAATTTATGTGGAGGTGCTATAGGGAAAATGATAAGATAGCTTAATCATTTCCCATCTAGGCATTTTCCTACCCAGAATAATTCCGTAGTTTTTTTTCACCTATGGTGAAAACCAGAAATATTATACCGCTCCTTCTTCTGACCCTTTTGCAACTGTCCATTCCAACAAGATATAGCAGAGAAAGAGAGACACAGCAGACAGTTCTTTCACGTTCTTTGCTAAAAAGTCTGCTTTTCCAAGGCTGGGGAATCTTCTAATTGCCATTCAGAGGTTGTTGTTGTTGTTCAGTCATTAAGTCGTGTCTGATTCTTTGTGACCCCATGAACTATATTGCGCCAGGCCTTCCTGTCCTTCACTGCCTCCCTGAGTTTGCTCAGCTCATTCAGAGGTAGATTCAAATAAACTTGATGGAACAAAACCATACAGCGAAACAGAATTATACTCCAGCCATGCTTCTTCAAAAGTAAGTATTTTGAGATCAATGTAGTTTGCCTTGATGCAAACACTTTTAGATCCAGGGTAGCCTAAAATATAAATATTCTGTGGAGTCCTTGGGGTTCTCTGAGCTTGGTTGTTTTCTTGCAAACATTTTGTTACCTGGATAGGTAACATGTTCAGTGCTAGAATGGAGTGGGGTTTACTCTCTGTTTATATACAGTGTTATGCCCTGCCAGTGTTGGTGGGGATGGGGGTTTTGTTTGTTTTATTTTTTCCCTCTGGTAGTTCCTTGATTAGGGTATTGTTTACTGCTTGATCGTTTGTCTGGTGATAATCTTGGTGCTAATCTCTGCTTA